AGAGAGAAGAGAGAAATGTACCAATTATATGTATTTTTTTTCAATAAATTTTCAGAAGGAAACCTGTGTAAGTAATTTTTCATGATTAATGATCATGGTAGTGTTTCTTTCAAAGCTCAGGCTGAATTTCTTGTGACTTCTTTTGTTCGATTAGCATAATACATTCATTTCTGTGAGTAGATGACTAGCCTCTAACCCCCACTGCCAGTATCTGGTTTCAGAGAGCATCACTCATTATGGAACAGTTGCTAAACACTTTTTATTGATGCAGCTACCAGGTCTAATTGTTGAACCAGTTTGTAATCCTCCTGCTGCTACAAAATAAGGATGTGAGAAATTTGTTGATTCATCTATCTTATTTGCAGTGCTTAGGGCAGGGTACCTCAAGATGTCACCACTGTTCAATAAGTCACTTTCATTAAGGGTGGAATTGATTCAATTGTGTCATCACTCAAATGTACAATTCAAGAAAAGACTGACACTTGTATTTCCCATTCCAAAAACATACATGCACCTTCAAAAAATAAGCACATAGTTTTCTACCCTGATCATGAAATTAGCATATTATCTAGCAGAAAATGTGATATATTAGTGAATGTGTTGTTATAATGTATGTGGAGACTTAATTTCTTTGAAAGAAGAGGTCTAACCATATATTTTCATGCTGTCTGAGGAACAGGAAGTTACATCACAGGTCCAGAAGAAAAATAAACATTTAGCAAAATGTCAAGTAAAACAGAAAGAATGAAAAATTTTCAAGATGCATGGCTTTATCTTATAAAGTTTTGCTGAGTATCTGCCTCCAAGGGAGACATTCAGGAACAAACAGAGTGTTAAGGTAAATGTGGAGGAGATGGTGGTGACAAAGTAGTAAGACTTCACCTGCTTTTGAAGCCGACTTCACCTTGTTTATTTCTTCATAGAGTGTGCCCCACGGAGCAGAGGGCAGGTGTGTGTGTTGTCCAGTGTAACAATAATGTGTCCCTCTGGGACAAAGGTTGGGAATGTTTACTTGATAAAAGATTTGGAATTCTAAACTCCAGATTCCTGTGATGTAAACTCACTGTATGAGCAACATCTGTCTGTCACCACAAAGGGACCTGAGGGGCAACAGTAGCCAAACATGAAGCTTAGGCTGCTGCTGTTCTATGATAAACAGCATCTGAGGATGCAGGAGGCTGGCAGACTAACTAACTAGTGTAGAGAAGATAAAATCACAGGTCTTTCACAGAATTGACACTGCCATGTGGAATTTGGGGGGAGAGAGTTATATAAGTATATATATTTTTCATTTTCTAAACCCAAACAGATTATTTAAAGTTTAAACTAGTATTTTAATTTGTCCATCTTCTCTTTCACCTGTCCATTCTCATTCTCTTGTGTATGTAACTGATTGCACATCTAATTGGTGGGGTTTTCTGCACCATTCATATTACTTCCTAAGCTCATTAAAGACTTTGCTGACAGCTTTTACTGGACTAGTGTATGCTTTTACAATGTGTATTCTGCCAGTACTCTCATAACACCAGTTGTAAAGAGCTCAGTTGGGCTACAATCACGTCCCCTCATGAATAGATATAGGACCGTTCCATGAGCTCTGCAGGGCTTCCATCAAGGACCCAGGTAGTCTAGACAGAAAGAGAAACCTTGATCTTCAGGCAGAATTTCAACTGCTCAAACAAGTAGTGCAATGCCACAAAATGGGCCATGTGCCTTTTAGACCCGTGTAAACATATTGTTTTTCCTTAAATGTAATGTCCAAGGAATCCAAAAGACATACAGAATGTGAACATATGAAGAGAGATACTAGAAGGGAAGCCACTCTTAATGGAGAATTCCTGAGTTGTTATACAGCTGACTGTAGAAGCCCCATGTCAAGACACACTTGAGGAATTCCTTTCTCTAAAGGAGGATGTCAAAATGTCACCCAAAGGTGATTTATGGGAGGGGATTCAGCATATAAAAATGTTGCTGTGAAATTCCCTAACATTGACTATAAAAATACAAAACTAAGTTTCAGTTCAGAAAATATCAGCCCTGTGGTGTTTAGTCCTTGGTACAGGCAGTGTGTAGGAGTTTCCAACATGCTTCTCAGTGTGGCATGGTGTTCAATTGAGTCAATGTGTGAAATCTCTGCAAAAAAT